AGACTGAGATCATAAAAAAGAATCCTAAAAACTGAAACAATATATTTGCATAATTTAAGGCCATTAAGAAATCGATCTCTAAACCAGATTTGATTTTCAGAATATGTTTTTTCATTTCGAATTCCATACAAAATGGAATTCTTTCCAACCAATAGATGTCATAGCAAATATTAACTCTTAACTATCAGACTATTAGTACATACCGAGCAAATTGTGTACTGATTTTAAAAAGTTAAAATGATTCATGTTAGGTAATTTTACATTTTATGCAAGTTGAACGGTGGGTTTTAAATATTGTTTCATAAAATGTAAAAGTGTATTATATTATTTTTATGAGATGTTGAATTTGAAAATTAATAGAATTCTTTTTCACAGGAATTTTAAATGTAACAATATTCTTTGGTATACACTACTAATAAAATCTATATTTAAAGTTTATATTTTTTTTTACCGGAAAGAATTCCTTAATTTAAGGAACCATATATCTTCAATCAGTCCACATCTATATACATTCTTCACAATTTTAAATCTTGAATTTGATGAGAATTCGTATCTATGAGTGCAAAATATGGTTTAACAAATTAATTTTTTATTATTATTCCAGTCATACTTCTTTATACGATTTTTTGTGAAAATACAAAAGTAAATTCTTAATTTTAAATCAGCCGTACATTAAAGAGTACAAATCTGTTGAAATTACAAAAATAGTTTTTTACTTTTAAACAGACATAAATTTAAATCAGTTATAAAAAAGTAATATTTGTTTACCATTTAAATATTAAATCAGCCGTAATTAATGTTGTTTGTTTTAGTTGCCACGATTTTCTCCAAACTAAATTAACAACTGCCATGATTTAAGGGCAACATTTAATGCTGCTCTATTTTTAGGAGACATTAAATATATTTGGCGGAAAAAACTTACTAAAAATGTTAAATGGTTAATCTTTTAATATAATGATAGATGTCACTTTGCATTGGTAAAATTGATAAATGGAATTGTTAAAATTCCTTTTTTCGATAACTACGTTAAAGTATGTTGTGTGCACATTTGTGTCTTTTCATTATTTACTTTCATTTTTTGACCTAACACTTCTCGCAAAAGTATTTTTGGAACAGAAATACTATTAGTTCAAACTTCCAACATAATTGAAAATATATTTTTGTTTTTCCAATGCAAGTCGTGGCAGATATATTTTGTGAAAAGTATGTTGTTATTTTTCCGTAATCATTGTTGTAGAAAGTTTTTCACCGCTATTCATTAATGGTGTTAAGCTATTCATTAATGGTGTTAAGTTGGTTTAGAAAATCGGATCGGACCGGCCAATTCGACCGGTTGAACCGTGAACCAGTCACTTCACCGATTCAGTTCTCTAGAACAAAATGGCTGCCAGCAAAACCAGTCCATGGCCGGTTGGTTAAAACCGGAAAAAAAAAGTCAAAAATTAAATGATTTGACCACTCAGTGTCTATTTGGTTTCGTAAAGCAAATAAATTCTAACACATATATAATGCAACTAAATTATTATGTCAACCGATGTGGGACAAGCAGGCAAAAAGAATTCCAATTGTTAAGCCACGTGGGTGGGAGCCTGGAGGAAATTTTCTTTTTCCATAATTTTGTCCTATTATTTTTATAAAACACACGCACACACTTTGTTAATTAAGATGCAATACAACATAGATTTCAAATATAGCCATTCCTGACATAAATTTCTAGTTAATAACTTTATGTTGCAAGTATGACAAAGTAATCGCACCTCATTTTAAATAAAAAATCGTCAATAATTTCTTATGTTCTATGACTATAAATTTTGATTATAATCATGTAAATGAGCTCATTAGTATTATATATTTTTAAATATCAACAAATTAAATAACTTAAAATTAAGCTAAGTATATTTATGAAATATTATATATTTAAAATATCAATAAATTAAATAACGGTTCAAACGGTTCAACCACTGGTCGGACCAGTGAACCATTGAACCAGTAGCTTGATCAGTTCGATAATCGGTCCAGTTTTCTGAACCTTGGTGTCAACACATGATTATTATTGCTAAAACTCCCACTTAAAAAATACTTGTTTTTCTAGTACGAAGGTCTGAGTTAACTTGAAGTTTAATAAAATTAGTACAATACTCGTGTACTACACAAATACTTGTTAAAAAAATTATATTTAAAATTAAATAATAATAACAACAACTGTTTTAGTTTTTAAATATATTTTTTTAAACTAGATTATTATTTATATTTAAAATGACACCGTCGCTTACGCGACTTACTATCTTATATTTTTTATTTATACCAGATAACTACTTTGTAGTTCAGTTAGTTTAAATAATTTTACTTTTTCAATTAATATTAATAAGTATAAAGATATCTAAAATTATTTATTTATTTTATATGTATAATATAGAAGTCAAATCGAAACTCCTCAAGACGTAATTAATTTGATATATTATATATAACAATTTGTTAATAAATAAAAAATTTATTAACTTTAAAATATAATTATAATTTAAGTTAGTAAATTTGTTATAATTTTAAAAGTATTATTGAAAAATATTATATCTTATAAATCACGTCTACAATAGAGATTAAATGTATCATAAATATCTACTATATTTATTGATATTCCAAGTCTAGTTACTTTTGGATTGGAAACAAATTAAACTTCATCCAAACCAAACAACAAAACTAAAAAATTTACCACATAGGATCCCAAAGCATGCAAGCCCACTTGAGCTCAACACATTCAGGAATTATATATAGCAGTGATTTGTGCAAATTACTACCTTTTAAATTGATTATCAAATTCCAATAGAAAATCCTATAGTAATATATTTTCAATTGTATAGCTTTCGTTTGAATCAATCCAATGAAAATATTCCTTAGGAATTTTAGATGAGATTTGATGATTTCAATGACTATTTTTTTCTACGGTTTTTTATCATAGGAATTTTTGTTAGAATTTTTTTCCACCCGTATTTCATTCGTTGGAATTATCAAAATAAAAAAAAAATTCCCATGAAAAATTCATTCCAATTGAATATTTTTGTTGGAATTTCCGCTGAAAAATATTGGAAAATTCCAACATAAGTTATAGCATTGAGATATTCATTTAAATTGGTATTGAAATTCCATTAGAATATATTTCCATTAGAATTTCACTATTTTCTTGTAGTGAATCTAGATTAAAAAGAACGTTAGAAACTAAAAAAATAAATATTATTTGATTATTCTTTTCTTGACATCTTCACATCTCATACAACTGACACAAAGTAGGGTTTTTGTAGATGAAGGAATAACCTTTTAAAACTTCCCTATTAAATAAAATGCAATCACTTTCTTGAATCATAGTTTTTTACTTTCCTGCATCATACTAGAATTAGACCACCAAGATATATGAATAGGCTCTTAGATTGTTGTAGACCCATTAATCATATATTAATTTAGTTTACTTACTCAACATCCCTCGTAAATGCAAACTCGTGAACACATCTGAGCTTCAATATCTTGGTGAAGATATTGCAACTTGATTATAACCTTCTTTTAAGTACTATATTACAAAAAATTCTCTCGTTGGGGAGGCGATTCTATCGTTGGGGATTCCATTCTCTTGGTGAAGAGCGGCCAATAGTGAGATTGGGGGAAAGCTAAGAGGTTTGCGGCGTTCACGTTTCAGTGGATATTGGGGATAATTCAGTTATAAAGCATCGATTAGGGTTCTAGTTGGCCATGGCTGACGATTTGGGGGAACAGTTTCAAACATTGAATCTATCAATTAAGGAAAGTCGTGATGTGGAACTGGACGATGAAGATATCAGATTAAGTGAAGAAGAATGTCGGCGCAGTCTTCTGGGAAAAATAATTGGTGACCGAAAAGCAAATATTTTTAGGATTAAACGGTTGATGGGAATGATCTGGCAGACATCAATGGCGTTTGAAGTTAAAGAAGTAGGAGCAAACTTCTTCCAATTTATCTTCGGCTGTAAGGAGGACAAAGAGAAATTGATGGCAGGGGTCAACTGGGTCTTCGAAAACCAGTACTTGGTGTTACAAGAGTTGAGGGAAGGTTTGTCAGCTCACGACTCCTGCTTCAGCGAGATTACATTGTGGGTGCAGGTGCATAATCTTCCATTGCACTGGTTGAGTATAGAAGTGGGGCAGAAGATTAGGAGATTATTCAAGAAAATTAAGAATGTAGTTGTGATTAAATCTGGGGGAGCTAAAGGAAGTTATCTAAGGTTGTTGGTATCTCATGAGATTTCAGAACCATTACTGCGATGTGCTAATATTAAATTAAGGGATCAGAGATTGGGTGTGGCTTTATAATATGAGAAATTGGTGAGTTTTTGCTATTACTGTGGCTTAGTTGGGCATTTGGAGAGGGTGTGCAGTAAAAGAGCTAAAGATATTGAAGATTGGTAACCTATAGAAGNAGATACCAGAAGAGCCTTGCATTCTGAGCAGGAAAATAACAATAAAAGAATGAATAGAGGAGAGTCATTGGAGGTATCTATTCCTTCCCAACCTCTAAGGGACCAGATATCTTCAGCTGTGGGAGCAAATGATGGTAAGCCCTCTGTAACACTAGGTGGTCATCAGCAGGATCCCAATATGAGCATGTCGCTGCAACCAGTAATAGTGGAAGAGAAAGGGTGTGGGAGAACTCAGGAGAATCAGATGGATTTGGTGATGGTAGGGGAGGAAACAATGATAGTTCATAGTACACAAGTTACTATGAGCTCTCCTCCTAAGCAAAGTCTCTCTACCTGGAGAAGGAAACAACAAGTATTAGGGAGATTGCATAGAACCTGGGATCTCACAGGAGAGGAGCAGACCAGTGTTAAGGGAAAAAGGGGAAGGGTTGAGAGTTCTCAGGCACTTGAAGAAGAGGAGGAATGTACTGAGAAATTGCAGAGGAAATCCAGGAAAACAAGAATTGATAAATCGAAATAGGTGGGGGTAGCCAGCCTTGAATGTCCCCAAAGTGATCAATGAAGACAATCTTGTGGAACTGTAGAGGTCTGGGAGGACCCTCTACAGTTTCCCAACTCAAGGATGCCATTAGGATCCACCTCCCATGTTTTATTTCCATATCAGAGACAAAGAGAAATAAGTTCTTTACAAACACAGTGTTCAAGAAGTTGGGTTTTGCAGATAGAAGGTATACAGTTGAACCAGAGGGCTCTAGTGGGGGATTGTTGTTGATGTGGAATACTGAAGTAGAAATTCTACAAATTCTTAGCTCGAATTATTGTATACAGGTGGTGTTCAAAAGAGCTAAGGAGGAGTCCAAGGAGTGGCTGATATTAGTGTATGCAAGCGCTGATAAAAATGTGAGGAAGTTACAGTAGGCAGAATTGGAACAGGGGATGAGCCTGTGGGGCCCAAATTGGTGTATAGGTGGAGACTGAAACGAAGTTGTGGGGATTTTGATAAGAGAGGCAGGTCTAGATCACAGAGGAGTTGTGAGAAGTTCAACAATTTTATTGGTAGAATAGGGATGATGGAGATAAAAATAGAAGGCTACCCTTTTACTTGGTGTAACAACAGAAGGGATGAGGGATTTGTTGAAGAAAAACTAGATAGGGTGTTTGGTTCATATTCTTGGCTATCTGCTCATAAGGAGGCAAAAGTGTGTACCAGCTACAGAAGCTCTTCATACCACTCTATGCTGATAATGGACTCGGGGAGTTCTAAGAGCCATTTTTTCAAGAGATTTTGTTTTGACAAGAGGTGGCTGAGCAAAAGGGGCTGTAAGGAACAGGTAGAAAAAGCATGGAATAGTCCAGTGGAGGGGTCCATGATGTTCCTGTTGGGTTCGCTATACTGTACGGATTAAAATTGCAGCGGAAATTATACAATATAATTATCATTTATTAAATAAATACTTAATCCGTAAGTATAAATAGCGAATAAAATGATCGGCATCTTTTAAAATCACGTAGAAATACGAATTTTGATTTGTAGAAAATTTCAAAAATTACCTTTAATTTTCTTCAAATATCGACGATGAAGAGGAAATCAATTCCCGGTTATGCGGCTATCACCGTCTTCTTATTCCGTAAGGGATCCAAGTGTTTTCCCTCTAATCGAGTCCACCTTTTGGATTCCGACTCCGTGAACAATTTCTTCGCTAGTAGAAATTTTCCGGTATTAAATCGGTATAAGGAATTAATTAAAGAGGAGATTTTTTTTTTTTTATTTTGTTTTGCAAAAGCCAAGAGCATTCATGCTCTTTTTGCAAAAAGCTAATGGGAGAGTCTTGTGTGTTTTACATCTCATGTACGCACACATATATGTAGCAATGAGGTTGTTTTAGAAAAGACAAAAACCATGTAGAACATATAACATGGAACAAAGCATCTTACAACCCACAACCTTTTTATTAATTAAGATGAGTTGGATCGAATAACTCCCATCTAATATTTTTTTTTTAATCTTTAATCTTAATTAAAGATTAAATAAAGATAATGACATATAATTTATGAAACTAACTTTCAAAATTAATTGATCAAAATCTTATCACTCGTATAAAATAAAATCTCCTCTTTTATGTAGGCTTTTAATATATAATCATATTAATATTTGGATTTGAAATTTTAAAGTCCAACTTTAAAATTCAATTATTAATTTAGTAATTTCAATAATTACTTAATTAATATCCAAAGCCTAATTAATCAATCTAATTGATTAATTTATTATATTTCTTTAATTGACTTCTAATCAAAATTAGATTTAATTAAATAATCAAATTATTTAATTAAGTCTTGTCAATTAATCCAACTATTAGAATTACCAATTTCAAAATAGTCATCATCCAAAATTTGGTGTGACCCTTTTAGGTTCACAATTAACACTAGTAGTGGGTTTATAACTCGTTTGTAATTTAAATTAATCTAATTAATTTATATTCTTGAAACTAACTCCTTAATTTCAAGAACCCACAAATCATGGGAACACCTAGCAAGTAGCATGATTATCTAGTGTTAAGTGAAATAGCGAGTAAACCTTTTCAATTGCAAGTGCATACATGTAAAATCCTTTCGACAACTAATTTCCCGATTACATCTTGGGCATGGATTTATAAGTCGAAATCCAATTGATTTAATAACTATGAATTCATTTCAAGTTTAGTGATTCGTTTATGAATCCATATTCATCCTACCTTGGCCAAGGTCTTTGAATCACAAACTATGAAAAACATAGGAAATTCACTTATCCACATAAGTGTCGAACTCTTTGTTGGCCACTGATAAACCTCCATACATATTAATACAGTACCCAAAATATCCCTTTTATGATTGTCTAGCAATCAAAGGATAAATAAAAGTAAAGCACAACATGCACAAGATTACTATCGTGCCTCAAGTCAGAAGATCAATCATGTACTATTGCAACATGAAAATTCTTATTCGACAGTTAAAACTTCCAGTTAAGAATTTTCATCGGGCCATGTTCAGTGAACTTGTTCTCCAACAAGCACCCGCATATATGCATTCGCGTCCACACGCTAATGTTGATGGAATGCAACATTCTCATCCGATGAGCATACATCATATGCACAAGTCTTGCCGGGTTATTCGATGTCCTGTCTCGAAACACCCATCGACTTGGAACTTATTTAAGATCACAGCTTTAAAGACATGTTCCATGATTGCCATCAAATGCGCAACCATGCCTCATAGCTAATAATGATCTAAGAACTTTATCATATGTGCAAATATAGAATAAATGCAAATACATAAGATAAAGCTATGCCTCAAAATAATATAATTTTCAATAAATTGTTTTATAAGTAGAAATAAATCCAATCTGATTGGAACGCCGGACATTCTACTCTAACAGTTCCAACTCAAAGAGAGGATAAAAAACACCAGAATGGCTTTGATGAGGTGGAATAAAGCTTCAAAGTCAGATAATGTGAAGAGAATTGAAGATCTGACATTAAAGCTGGAACAAATGAGAGCTTTGGGAGGTAATAGAAATTGGCAGGAATGGGAAAACGTTAAGAAGGAGCTGGATCATTCCCATATGTCTGGAGAGGAGTTTTGGAGACAAAAAGTAAGGATTCAATGGCTTAAGGAGGGGGACAAAAACACCAGGTTTTTTCATGCCACAACTATGCACATGAGAAAGAAGAATGCAATCTCAAGATTGGTGGACACTCAAAACAGAGTTGCTGAGACTCAAGAGCAAATTGAGCAGTGGATCACTAACTTCTATCAAGCACTGTTTACTTCTGAAGGGTCATGGGGGGAGGCTGAAGTGCTGAATCTTATATCACCAGTCATTTCTGAATAGGCAAACTCAAATCTAGTAGCTCAAGTGGAGGAGTGGGAAATCCAATCTGCTCTGTTTTCAATAAATCCCAATAAAGCACCTGGGGAAGATGGTATGGCCCCTTTATTTTACCAACATTTTTGGCCTGTTATTAAAACTGACTTGTGTGCTGCTATTCCGAGCTTTTTTCATACTGGGAGAATGTTAAAGAATTGGAATCACACTGTGATTACTTTAATCCCTAAATGTGAGCATCCATCCTCTGTGACACAATGCAGACCCATCAGTCTTTGCTCAGTATTGTTGACCACCGACTTGGAAATTATCATTATGTTGACCACCGACTTGGAAATCATCATTATTCAGTGTTAAATGCAGTTATACGTCAGCTTAAGACTCCAGAATATATTAAAGATGGTCCTCTCGTATAAAAATCACTTATGATGTCAGAATCACACCCTTCCACCGAAGCGAAGTCTTCATTGACCTCGGATCACTAACCGACTTCCTAAACGTCTACCGACGACACAACCCACCTCGGAGACAACCGAGTCCGTAAACGTCTACCGACGACACAACCCACCTCAGAGATGACCGAGTTCATCGATACCGAAGCAGGTGACAAGGCGCCCATGCGATCTCCTAACCTTTCGTGCCCGAAAGTCATAATAATGGTGGACCCCACTGACAACGTCGCCCATTCGAGGTTACATTTAAGTGAAAATTCTGAATTATTAGGGGCAGATCATTGGGGGTCTCGAACGGCGTGTAATAAAAAAGTTACTATATATAGTCTCAGATTCTCTCAGCAGAGGGGGATCGGTTTTTGGAACCACACTGTATACTTTCACTTCGGTTACACGAACACGGATCACACATCAATTAATAAAAATCCCAAATTATTGCTATTATATGTTGTGAATTACGCAAATCTACGTTAAATATGTTGTTACAAATCCATACGACAATAAGTATCTTACAAAATTATTGCAAAAATCCTAGCAAATAGATTGAAGGAATATTTGAAGCATTGCATCAGTATCACTCAATCAGCTTTTATTCCAGAGAGACAGTTGCTTGACAATGTGGTTATTGCTCAAGAGGTTCTGCATTATCTGAATAAGCATAGGACGGGTCATAAATGCTATATGGCTGTCAAATTGGATATGATTAAGGCTTATGACCGAGTTGAGTGGAACAGTATGGTGAAGATTATGCTCAAATTGGGTTTTCATTAGTCTTTTGTGGATTGGGTGTTTTCCTGTATATCCTCTACTGCATTCTCCTTTAATGTTAATGAAAAAGTCATTGGGTATGTCGCTCCTTCTAGGGGACTCAGACAAAGGGATCCTCTTTCCCCCTATCTGTTTCTCTTGGTGTCTGAAGTATTCTCAAAACTGATTGTTCAAGCTATCAATGTGGGGGAGATGGAGAGCCTGAAATTGGTTAGAAGGGGAACTACACTTTCTCATCTATTGTTTGCAGATGATGCCCTTATGTTCTGTACTGCTGATGTCTCCAACTCTGTTGGCCTGCTCAGAATTCTATCAGTGTATCAACAATTCATAGAACAACAAGTGAATATGGTCAAATCATCTCCTTTTTCAATAAAAATACCCATGAAAGTTTGAAAGCTATTGTGTGTCAGAGGCTGCAAGGTATTGAGGTGTGCAGTTCAACAAGATGTCTAGGACTTCCCATGGGTATAGGTAAATCAAAGAGAGAAGTCTTTGAATTTGTTATAACAGCTGTGAAAAAGAAGCTCTTGAGTTGAAAGAATAGGTTTCTCTCTTTTGCTGGGAATGAGATGTTGCTCAAAGCTGTGATCAGTGCACTACCAACATTTGTGATGTCCTGTTTTTGTTTACCAGTTGGGGTGTTCAAGGAGATTGCCCAACTCAGTGCTAAGTTTTGGTGGTCTACTGGTGCAGATCATGGAAAAGGGATACACTGGATGGCTTGGCACAAGATTACAGTGCCAAAAACTGCAGGTGGTGTGGGATTCAAGTATTACAGGGCCTTCAATGATGCAATGATCTTAAAACAAATATGGAGGCTAATGACAAAACCAAATTTCTTGATGACACAAATTTTGAGAGAAAAATATTTTTCTGAAGGCTGTGTGTTGAATGCAAAGCCCAGTGCATCTGCTTCATGGCTATGGAACTCCTGGGTGAGGGTGATGAATATCCACAAACCAAGCTTTAGAAAGGAAATCAAGGATGGCTTGTCAACCAAAATCTTAACTGAGCCATGGGTGGATGGGTTACAGTCAGGAGTGCCTAGAGTAAAGCCAGGCATTGAAAATTTACAGCTTACTAGGGTGAGTGAGTTATTGTCAGATACTGGTAGATCATGGAACATAGACATGCTACAACAACTGTTCACTCAGGAGTCCTGCACAGCTATCTTGAAAATGAAGAACCTGGACCCAACAATGAGAGATAGATGGGTCTGGACTTCTGATGCTAAGGGTCAATCTTCTGTGGCTTCTGCTTATGGGTTGGTTGTTGATCAGAAAGTGTTATAGATGGGTTCACCAGGTAGTAGCAACTCAAG